CACAAGGCTGGGACAAGTCTATTCGATGCGTTTCGTCTTCGTCGACGACTTTCACGCGCGATTGCAAACTCCTGCTTCGACCAGGTAAACTCGTACCAGCGAGTTACGCTCTTGCAAAATTTACTTTTGCCCCTTCTTTTTCTCTACCGTTCGTTGTTGGCCGACTTTTCAAAGAGTTCCTTCACTTTTCACTCTCGTCGGAAAATTTCCGCGAGACGACTCGATTTTCCTTTTAGATTCTTTTAGTCGTAATTCGATCATTAACATATTCCAACTATAAGATATCGCATCGAAAGATCTTCTATTAAACATTTTGACCGATGTGGAGGTTAAAAAAAAAAAATTGAAAGAAAATTTGAAATAACGCTAATGTTATGATAGAATTTAGAAACGATTTTACGAAAATTTTGCGGCAAGAGCGGGGAATAAGCAAGAATGCCGATATTCAAACGCTGAGGGTCGGTTCTGAAAACCGGAATGCAGTTTACCATAAAACAACCATATGTATTCAAGGGGAATTGGTGGATTTCATGCACCGCTCACGTTCTTGCAACAGGTTACAAAACTCGATGTCGGCTACATCGCAAAAGTACGCGTGCTTTTTTTTATGACGTTCAAATTACAATTCTTCGTAACCAGAATGACTTTGCTCCTGCTAAACATATTCCTTGCTCTAACAAATTACCACGCACCATTTATTATTCTTCGTACATCGCGATTCTTACAAATATTTAGGTACCTACTTAACTTTCCTAGAAATATCAACATTTTACATTTCTTACAATTACACTTATTGTTAGAGAAAGATGAGAAACTAACTTTGGAATTTTGCAAAGAAACATTCAACTTGATTGAAAAATTGTAATTGAATTTAATTAGTGATTTGTAATAGCTACCTTTCGTTATAATAAATGTATCTTTTACACTTTTGCAATTTGTAGTTTGTAAAGATAATTATTATTCCGTATAACTTGTAACGATTCGATGTTTTGCATAAAGGTAATAAAAAGAGAGTATTTGATAAATGTAAATTATAGGGGTATTAATGTTAATACATTCACAGCCGTTGACGTAATAGCACATCTTTTTTTTCAAATCGTAGCTGATTACCACTGACGTAATAGTAGGTTTTTTTTAATATCATAAGTTTAAACGAATCAATGAAAATCAGATGAATTAGTTAAAAAAATTATCGAGTGGGAAAGTGTTGAAGCATAATCGTAGAAATATCGAGACAGAGATTCGCGTTTTGCGTTTCGCGGCCAGTTTCTCCTTGCTCGACGAAAGCGCAAAGTAAAAGTGGACAAATTTCGAATGTGTTACTTACGACGACGCGGTCAGTCCGTCGCTCCAACTGAACATCTTCTTGATCTTCTCTCGTTGCTTCGGATCACTTTTATTGTCCATTTCGATCCTTGTCCGTCTTCTGCGACCTGTGAACCGTGCGAATGGCGGATGCTAGATGCGCTCAACAGTCTCGTAAAAGATTTCTCGGTTAAGATTTCGTTTCTCTTCAAGTACGATGCATCTTTTTTCTCTGTTAATTCCCTTGTTATTCGTCACCGTGATCCTTCCACGAGATATTCACGCTGCAAAAGCATCAGTCTTGTAATTAATTTACAAATGGTAGACATTTTTTAAATTAGGCAATGCACGATGAACGAAAAGAGCAAAATGATCCTTCGTTTGTATCCCACATTTTTGTAACCATTATTTGCATTGCAAATATTTATTGGAACTTGTTTTTCGAACGATTGTAAAAAAAACCCAAGAGAAATATTCGCGTTTTTAAGGAAATTTCATTAGTCATGCTGACGTGAATCGAACTCGATCCTCCATGAAACAGAAATATCATCGATAATTCGAATGATCCCTAGTAAAATTCAACTACATATATTCCTCGGATCCATCGTCGTTGCGTCGCGTCGCGTCGCGACGCGTCGGTTTCTGACAATGACAGAAAGTGAAACCATTTTACACTGTGATTACGAAGAAAGCGTGTTGTACATAACAATTCATTGCGTCCAGGTCAGTGGAATAGAAAATCTTTCCCTTGCCACCGCTACGCCATACAAGTATTATACATATATGTATGTATAATAGTCTGCTGGTACGAAAGAAAAACGCGGGAAAAGGGACAATCGTTGTTGCGTTTGAGTAATCAGACCAGAACGTCGTACCTTGTCATTCAAAATTCAACTGTTTAGTTAGTTATAATTGTAATTGATTTCACTTGCTACCTCGCCAAATGAATTGTAAATAATAATTATGCTGATAAGGTGTTGGACAATGTGATTCGAATATTTCATTGTCGGTAAGTAGGTACTTTTGAATGTCGAGCTCAAACTAATTAATGTCAAGGAATTGAGTTTTGCGAGAAGTAGTTAGCATTTCTCAGACAGCTTGATCATAAAAGAAAAAATACAAATAAATCAAGGTAAACGAGCAAAGAGAATGTATAATTGAAGGAAACCGTATGAATATATTTAGAAAAAAAGAAACAACAGAGCTCTTTAAATCTCAACGATTTCATATTCTGCAACTGACTCAACTATTTTAGTTAACCTATATTTGGTGATCGATAGATTTACCATTGCATTTCGGTTCCTCCTACAAATTCTTCTATAGGTACAACAAATTGTTGAGAATGAAAAAAAGAATCCCATTCCAGAAAGAATTTCGTCACGCTATGCGACGATCGAGATCGAGATCGAGATCGAGACGGATTCTCGGACTAGAAACGATGAAAATCTCTCTGCTAGTGAATATTTTCTGACAAGTAATTCGAATAAAATTCCACTGATTCCTATTCAAGACAAACAACACGTCCAACTTCCAAGGATTTAGAATTCGATCGACGTCATTGATGTATGATGGAACTATTATATGTTCATTTCAATATACGATAAGACGATTTGATTAATTGGTGCACCTGAATAATAATAACAGCTCATTCATTTTTCTTTTTATTAATGACTTCTGGCTCGAGTAATGATAGGTCGCGTTTACACAAATGATGAATGAGAAAAATACAATTTTCCTATTAGATTGTCTGGAAAGTGTTGGTAATTCTTTTTAGAAAACAATAGATAATTTTTGGAAAATTAACCAATGCACAGGTATTTCTATCATTTTCTACAGAACTAACTGTTCTGAATAGGTAATCGTCATACCATTGAAATACGCGTCACTGATCGTCCAAGAAAGTAGAACTTCCGATACTCTGACCGGAAGTGCCACGAAAATGCTCGCCGCTAAAAGGTCGACGCTCGCACGTTTAATATTCTGTAACAGTGCTGTGCCGATCTCATTAATGTTACCAATCAATGAAAATTCCAACAATTGCGAATTCGATCAAATGCAACAAACTTACGCGTCTCTGTTATGTGAAAGTGTTGCGTATGCGTAACAAGACACGAACTTTATAATTACTATTCCGACTGCACTACCGATTCTCCCTTCCGATTCTCGTTCGTTCCTTTGCTCGTCTTACATAAAATGGGTAAAAGTTGCTGACGTTTAGATTTTTCATTCGTTGCCGATCGGAAAGATCAGCGACCGAGAGAAACGCTTAAAGAAAAAGAAGTGGATGTAAGCACCGTTAGGCGCAACGATGCAATCCGTGGAAGAATCATTGTGCTTGACTCGAGTCACACGAACCTGTCAATTCAACTCAACTATAATGCTACACTACTGCACTGTTACACGCATCTTTGTGCCGGACACGTAATATCTCGATCGTTCAACTTGACTCGACACTGTCAGTATCGATTCGAAAAATCGAAAGTGTATCGTTGACCTTATTAAACAGGTTAAAAAGCCCTGTGTGACCTAAAGATAAATATGTTTGTAGGTCACTCGATGATCGCAGGAGAAGAACACTTGTAAATCGCTCGACCATCTCCGTGGATGACTTTCACGATTTTCAAGAAACACGAACAACTTCTTTTTTCAAGTGATTTTTCTACACTGACGAAACAGGCTCCAGACATATTTAATAAATAATTATCTTTTTGTTAACATTATGTTTCTACTGTTATACATATAATAAAAAGCCCGATCGACAAAGTTATCATCTCTTTTAAATCTTTCAACAATTTTTCTCGTTTTCATGCGAATTTCAATAAATTTTAATAAATTTTAATAAATGCTTTGAAATTTTAAATCATCGCGTATATTTCATCAAGTTTCTCAACACTTTCAAACGGTCACACACCTCTCTACTTGTGAATTTGATACTCGTAACAATTTCCCTATTACTTCCTCGTTACACTTCCTCGATTTCATAAGAGTCGAGTGCGTGAGGGTGCACTGTATGTAAATACGTGCATGAAATCCATGATATATTTCTATGGAAAACAAAGGAAATATAACGAAAATGTAAATAAATAAAATCTAGGACAAATGACATCGATGTTTAACTTTAACAGCATTTTCTCACGTAAAGTCATATGTATCGCGTAATGGCGCGAGACACTTATTTTAAAAGATTGGCAAAGTTACCTCGACAGCGATGCAGAGAAATGGCAAATCCTTCGTAGTCGCTTGTGTATAATTCAGGAAAGGAAGACAAAAGAAACGTGAGACACTGACGTACAACGACGATCGTGCGTATTTTTCAAATAAAGATCCTCGCGAATTCTCGATAACGCACGTAAGATACGTCGTTTGTACTTTTCAACATGTCTGCGCGCAACGAAAGATCTCGCGCGTAAACCCGGAAGAGATAAAATCTCCTCTACACTGTTACACCGACCTCGACGATCACAATGACGATATAAAATAACGTTTCTTTTCTTCTTTTTGCAAATTTTCTTTTGTCAAAGAAACTTTTCAATAATTTTATCGACAGATATTATAATTGGCGTAGGTAAGTTCCGGACCGAGTTCGGATGTTCCTTCGTTCCTAACGTGAAAAGTTGAATACAAAGAACAAACGATACGGACCGCGTGAAAACGGACAAAGAAAGAAATTAAAAAGAACGTAGAGGATGATTTACCGTGGACACGTTGACGTACGCGGAGTGCCGGAGTGCACGGATGAGAACGGCCCGAACCGTATGAACGTCTTTCTCGCACTGAGAGACGAGGCGGGTTGGGCAAAATAACACGCAGCAACCGGCAACCGAATGTCCGCGTATATGTATATCGACACACTATAGACTATAGGCCGACGCACCATACAAGTGTATACGCGCCACTCTATAGTAAACATGCTCCTTTACCGGTCAATTGTACACTGTCGAGCACGATAGCTTTACCTAACAAAAAGATAACAATGTACGGAATTATAAGGGAAACAGGCCCTACCACCACTTGCGCAAAATTTTTACTTGATTACGTTTTTAAAACATTCGATATTAAAATATGTATTGGCAAATTAAGCATAATGCTTGATAATTTTCGAGAATTATAGCAAACGATAGGATTTTCTTCCCCGCTATCACCATTTTCCTTAGATAAGTTTACCATGCTGGCTACTGTACATCATACGCGCCTGCGCGATTAGGTTAGGACAACCTTGGTTAAGAAAAGCGACCCCTTGATCCTTCGTGCTAGATTCCATCGTATTTCCTTTTATCCTTTTTTTGCACAGCTAAATAATTCATTGACCGACTTTCAACCGTCGAGTGCGCCTTGTTTAATCATTCATTTACACAAATTTTTCAGCTTGTATCATCATCATCATCATCATCATCATTCTATGCATAGATTGAATAGTCTTCAAAATGATTTCGAACGAGTGTGACTGATTGTGCGTGCGCTTGTCAATTTATGGTGATTGTTTCAATAAATCAACTAATTAATTCTTGTCTCATCATGTTTGTAAACGTGCATTTGAAATACTTGTTTGCTATTCAGTTTTCAAATATCTCATCCCAGAGACAGATATCAGCATAATTTTTAAAAATATAACGAAACAAATCTTTCAAAATGCTATCTTATTAGAGAATAAGGGAAGAAAAATGTAAATTATTCGTTCTAAATTCTAATGATAAGTGAAATAAAGCATAAGGGGTGACACTCGCGCCATTTCGTGTTCACCGCCTCAGTAGAAGTGGACGTGTGGATCATTATAAAATTATCGTTGATACTTTTCCTTGTGTATGTTTCTCTTTTTTTTTTTTTTTTTTTTTAATTACTCAATCACATTCCTTGATGCTTGGTATATAACTTGTTTCATGACTTACCAATCATTTGTCACTCATCACGTTGCTTTGAAAAACTGCCTTGATGCTCGACCCTGCGTTAAAAGCTAGGTGGCTTTCGATCCGGTAGATGATGCATGTATGCGTGTATGCACTTTTCCTTGCAGTGTCGCAAATCGAAAGTGCGCGGCCTGCAGTGCCGTCTTATGCGTATCTTTCGTATGCAAGGGCTCCTTATGCATCGACTTAGGTTACAGTGGGTCGAGATTGCGCAAACGTTCGCAGTTACAAATTGCTTGCATTATAACACTTACGACATGTTTACGGCAAGCTGCAAACTAAATCTTTTCTCAGGAAGCATAGTTGGAGACTGTTGTTTAAATTGGAGAAGAGACTCAGCCTCCCAGTTGAACTTTCAAAATATCCCACGTACGTAAGGAAAGGCTACCAGGTTGTTTCATCGGCTCTGAATCATCGGATGATTGTTCTCTATTCTCTGTAGCACGGAATAGGCAATCTTCTCTCATACATAATTTCTAGCACGTAATGCAGATTCCATTTACGTTGCACGTACCGTGAAGAGCCATTACAATTTGAACGCGAATGATCATGGTATCTGAATGGTGAACCCATTGTGCAGTCGCACTCCTGGATGCTTATCTGTATTGATATTGCATACTGTATCCTATGTATTCAAAAGGGAGGATTTTATTTTTAACGAATTACACTCTTCTTTATTTTATCTAGCATCAATCATTGTATATATGTATGTAGGTAAGTATTTTAGGTTTTCATCCTGAGGAAAATTATCCCAGCTTCGTTTGACTGGTCAAGTTGTGGAGACCTATCAGGAAACACCTATCGTGTTAAAAATTCTTCTTTTTCATTTACTTTATATGCTAATTATGATATTTAAAACCGAACTTTCTGCGCCGTGATTTTAATTTTTTCGTAAAGGTTTTACGTGAAACACAGCTAGTGAAATATTATCGAATCATTCTATAATAGTATTCTAGTAAGGTTGAATTTTCTGTTTGGTTGATATTAAAATGTTTAGCAGGACAAGTAACAGCGAACTGTAAAACTAGAATGTTGCAGAATGACATTAAATGGCAGTCGATTAATAATCGATTATTACGTATACATTGCTTAGAAGGTTAGAAAAGAAACAGGTTCGCGAGTCCAAGGCGATTACATATTTCCTGATTTACTAACGCTCTGATCTTATCGCACTGATCGAATTATATCGTGTTCATTATAATTTCAACCATTTGTTCAACTAATTTCTTGTCGGTCACCATTATACAGCTGCCTTTGCTAGCTCCAATTTTAATTTTATTTCTTCCACCAGAAGTTATTCTATTCTTAGCTGACGCATGAAATTCCTTCGCTCCAGACTCCATTTTTATCCTTAAAATATTATCTTTAGCGATACCGGAACCTGGCATCACGATTATTCTCTGCTGTGCTCTTTCAACGAGTTTTTTTATCAACTCTAATCCTTCCACGGCGGTATCCTTCTGACCGGATGTCAGAACTCTCTCGAAACCAAGATCAATTAATGTTTCCAAGGATTTTAAAGGATCGATCACTTCGTCGAAGGCTCGATGGAATGTTACCGGCAATGGTTGGGCAGCAGAAAGGACGATTCTACAGGATTCTATATCTATTTCGTCGTTTGACGTCAATGCTCCAAACACGAAACCATCGGTTCCGTGATCCTTCAAAATTTTTAAATCTTCTAACATCACGTCCATTTCCTCTTTCGAATAAACAAAGTTACCAGATCGTGTTCGAAGCATGGCGTAAATGGGTATAGGTGAAATGCTTTTAACTTTTTTTAATAGACCAGCTGTGGGGGTTAAACCACCTTCGGATAAAGCAGAACATATTTCCAATCTGCTTGCACCACCTTCGATCGCGTTTCGCGCTGATTCCATCGAATCAATGCAGATCTCCATCTGGAATACGAAGGTATAGGTATGTTTCAAAAGCGTAATTAAATTATTAACCCTTTCTCCTTCCATACGATCAGAATATATGTAGATATGAATATATCTATGAAAAACTTACTGTTAACTAGTTACGAGGTAGATTTAAACAACAAGAATCTTTAAAAGCATTGCCAATTTCCCACCAGAGAGAGTTGAGCGCACAAAATCACCAGCAATTTCTCACTAGGAATATGTACACGCCTCACGATATCAGCGGTTCGAAACACTCGATACCTGAAATGATTTATGCGTTAGCTATCGAGCCTCGTAATGATTTTATAATCTATGTAAACTTTTTAACAGTATTATTTTACAACTGACACGTAATTGGTAAAAATACACAAAATAGAACAATGAAATCGTGTGTAATAAATGGATGCGAATTGTCTGCGAGACGTGAACGTTTCGCCATCTGCAGAAACTCGTTGAATCATTCTTCAAATCCCTAGAAGATAAGCTAAATCTCTTACCTGAATAAATTTTTAATTTTCACTATTCTCACAGCATCTATTATGAGGAAAAATAACGATGTTACATCAGATTTTATAAAGCGCAATGAAATTCTGTATTATACAACACATATAATAAAATAATACCAAGAGTTATATAAGTAAAAAATAATAATATTAATAATAATAATAATAATAATAATAATAATAATAATAATAATAATAATAATAATTGTAACAAATATTTAAGCGAAATTTATAATAGGGCGTAGTCAATAGGATCCAGAGGTAAAAAATAAAATACATAAAATGAGAGGGCAGCGTAAAGAGGGGTTGGAAGAGGGAGAACACGATTCTCGGCGCGTATAATGATCTGCACGCATGATCAGTCGTTTAAAAATCGAAAAAGGAGCTGAACGATTCGCAATCTTAATCGATCGATTTGCAAAGTTAAGCCTGGCGGTCGTCTTTGGAGAACTAGAATATCATTTCCACGGAATCTTTCTTTTTTTTTCTTTTTTTTTTTTTTTTTTACTTTTTCTCGGTACCCCGACTAAATTCGCTCGTCGAGGATTCTTCTACAACCAGGCGTTTGTCGGGTTCCAGTTTCTTTTCTAATTACATATATTTGGGAAATCGAGGAGAAATCAGAGGTCGCCATTCGAGACCGCGATCGGCGACGGACTCGTCGGATTGCTCGAGCTGCTCGACCACTTATTCTTGTGAGGATCCACACCGAAACCTTCGTCGTAGTTTCCTCGTGTGATGAATAATTGTTTGAAGTGTGGGATGCAGTAGAGTTTACCATTGTTTAAGGTGAACGTGTCCATCCTGTACAAGGAGAAATGATATCGTTTATAACTAGCACCGTGATTCTGAAACACCCTCGGACAGTTGAACAAGTTTACAGGATTCTTATTCTAAAGGGAGAGGAGAGAATAAAAGACAATTGCAAAACGTTACCTCAGCACACAATTGCATTGTAGACACCGGAAGCACTGTTTGTGAAATATTTTGTTATTTGTCTCCACCTTCTCGAGGGGGTAGACTTTCTTTTCACAGCTCTCGCAGACGTCCGTACAGCTCGCTTGAATTTCCTGCATCGGATAAACGGGTATGGTGGAAGAAAACAAAATAAATAACAAAGAAAGAAAGTCGCTTGAACGAAAAGTGATAGGTTTATGAAGGAATAAGATGACGAGTTTGCTTAAATTACTTGATGTATACTTTCAAAAGATAGGAAAATTGTAAAAGGATACCTATTGCACTGCCTCTTTTTCATTTTTAATTTCAATCACCATGAAAATTTATACCATTCGTTTTGTGTTTTTTCCTTCTTTTTTTGTCGTTAGGATGTGCCCTTTTATTGAACGTTTGCAAATATGATGGTAATAAATTGTTACACGTGAAAAGGGAAAAGGAAAAAAAGGGAAAAAGGGAAAAAGGGAAAAAGGAAACGGGAAAAGGTAAAGAATATGAGTATCATATACGCCTCTTAAAAATTATACAATCCAAGACTTAACGAAAAATTCTACGTAAAACAGATCGCGGTGTGTGTAAAATAGGCCGTGAATGAAGCGATCGGTCGACAAACTCATTTCTCATCGAAGATTAATAAATATCCATCTCGCCGATTAACAACAAACGCGCATTTCGTTCACGTTTACGATCGCGTCGATTAACAATGTTCCCTTAAAATTATTGCACTGAATTACATCGATCGAGTTCAAGCTCTTTATCATGATTTTCATGGATGATAAAAGGTAGATCAAGTCGTGTAGAGAATATACATACATATACTTTTCGATCTTTTTCTCTCTCTTTCTCTTTTTACTTCTCTACCTATCTAATACTTCAATCTTTTTGATAGAAGAAAAAAAAAGAAAAAAAATCACTAATGCCAGTAAATTTCGCACCACACATAAGTGATCGATTTCAGTAAAGAAAAATTTTTCCGTGAACCCTGAAATTGTATTTCGAATCGGTTTTATTATTAATTAAGATTTTCATTACACTCTTTATCCAATTCCCTTGGCAAAAGATTGAAAATTTCAAGCTCTATTTTCAAAAGAGATATCAAAATAAATCGTGAACACGATCGAAATCAACTTCAGGAGCTCTCTTTCTCTTTCGTTTCGAAGGTGCGTTCTTTTAAATAGATCAGGGGATCGTTATACACGTTCTTCTTCTATACCAATGATAAATATATGTATATATTTATATAGAGAGATTTATATGTGTATACGTATATGAATGAGTACTGTGCGTCCACGTTGGTAATTGTGAAGGAATTAACCCGTTGCGTTGTTAATCAACCCATTTTAAGTTAAAAGAGTAGCCAATTTTATTTGCTTTTATTAGAAGCTAATTAGAAATTTCGACTAATAATTGCTGAAATAGAAGCAGCATTCAGGAATACATTTCTATGAATTTCATGTCTGACGTGAATAATTAATAATAGGTACAACGCAATGGGTTAATGTATACATATGCCAAGGACTCTTCTAGCTATAAGGACTGCCCCAGTCCTCGTATCGTCTCTGTCTCTCGACCTTTATAAAAATTATAAAAAAGCCTATATTCGATAGCGTTCTAGTATCAGTTTAATCCTTAGTCTGTTTGGTATATTTTCAGAAGGAACGAAGATTCTTCGAACGTTCAATTCATGGGCTGTTCAATTCAAAGTACAAGGAGCTTGAAAAAAAACTTTGCAAATTTTACTCTGACGAGTGAGAAGTTTACCTATCCGGTTTTGGAACTTGTAATCCTTTCGTCACTTATTGTATTAAATTTTTCTACAAATTTGTCGCTGAATTAAAAACGAATCATTTTTTAAATATTCAATTTTATATCATAGGAATAAGTGTAAATAGTTTGCGTTATCACATGTAGTTTATTCGTTCGGTTCTTATCTGATTCCTTCTTATCGTTTCTTATTGTTAACAAGAATAAAAAGCTGTCTAAAAATATTTAAAAAAGTATAAAAGTTGTATTGCGGATTCGAATACTTAAAAAATGATTCATTACCTTCTTTTTTGTTTTGCTTTTTTTTTTTTTTTCAATGAATTCTATTACCTTATACACTTATCAATTTATAATTTAGTCTGTGAAAAATTAATGCAACTTCTCAGACACAAAGGTGGAACAGCTTCCTCGAGTTTCAGGATAGAAAGGTGTAAAATAAATATTTTTAACAGCTCCTCTTTCTCCCTTTCGCTCCATAATTATCTATTTGCAGACGAGTATTAAATTCCTATGTGTACCACGTGAAAAGCTGTAAAAGTACTCGAAAAGCTTGTAGATCCTAAGTACGTAAGAGTTTAGATTATTTGTTGAAAATCCTTTGAAAAAGGATCCTCGAAACCGTGATTAGGAAGCATCGAATACTTTCTCCAAATAGCAACTCCCATCTCATTTTCTTTAAAGATCCTCTGATTTTCCTTTCGTTTCTTCGCTTGGCACTCGCGAGAAAGGAAAAGACTATTTGAAAAACGAACCACCCAACGACATCGATCGAAAATCAATAAAATTGACATTGATCAAACAAATTTGGCACCTTTTTCGTAAACTGCACGTGCCAAGATGTAACTGCGCGCTAAAGAAACTGAAACTTTGGCACTCGATGTAAAGTAAATCAGGTTATTCGTGTCGCTGGTGGATTCGTTAACAGTATTTCGTACAGTTTGTTTTGTTTTGTGTAAGTGGCTCTGGAAAAGTATTACAAATGTTCTCGTGTAAAAAGAGCAATTCGAAATACATATTGTAGCCAAGTGATTGTGAGCCGCGGAAAAAACACGTTCGAACGGCGAAGAACGTGTTCAGCGAGACGATTAAACCCCCTGGAACGACGGAACTGGGTCAACAGCGATCGAAATTTACTAAATACGCGCAAAGGGTAAAATTTTTAAATAAAAGAATTCTTGGGTGATATACAGGGTGATTCAGCTGATAATTCTGTTATTAACGCATTCATGAAAAAATGCCAAAGGAAAAAGATAAATGCATCATTTTTTTTTAATGGAAAATCCCCTGTTAATTCTGCGTAAAAAAGTATTATATACTATGGCATAAAAATGAGCTCTTTCTTCCTTGGTTTACGAATTGAATTACTATTTGAATAACACAACAGCTAAAGAAAATAAAATTGATGTTCCGTCATCCAAGGGTTAAATACATATAACTTTGTTCCACGACGCGAACGCGTCGAACACGTTGAACGCGTCGAGTAACACGTTTCAATTGGTCCGCGAGTCTGGTAATTCGCAGTATAACGAGTTTCAATTCCATCGATTTAATCTGCACACTATATGCAAAAATTTGTTGAAACAAACAACTTGTATAGTTTCAACGAGCAAAGAGTACTCGACGTCTCCGTGTTCTCCGTGTTCTCCGTGTTCTCCGTGTTCTCCGTGCATCTCGCTACATGATACAAATATATAATAAAATGTACGCTAGATTCACTAACAGAACGCTACTCAGAAAAGACTTGAAAAAGAAAAAAGGGAGAGAAACGTAAAAATCGCACAATGATCCAGACAACGAAGTGGAAGTGTTGTCGGTTCCCACGAAGCACAAGATTCCAACGAATTTCGTATTTTCATTTCTATGTCCTATTTATCTTTTGTTTCGTTTGCCTGTATATCTGTCGTGTCTGTGTTGGTCAGGCCCTGTTAATCCGTGTGCTCGAGCCTTGTTGATCCTCCACTTCCGGTGTCCTTTTACTGTTCGCGTCCAACAGAGAAGATCGTGATCGAAAACGAAAGCTGGCCAACACTTTTTTGCAGGCGTCAATCTCAAGACCAAAAATGTCAGACACAAAATCAGAATACGTCACAGGAATCACGCTAACTAGTCATGCTGTATAATTGGACCATCTGTATTCCCCTTTCTCAGGATTTTTACCATTTTCAATTGGTCGAGGTCCAATTTTGTTCTCTTTTCTCGAGACGTTCACGTTAGTTCGCATAGCTATAGAGAACGAAACTACAATTCATAGTGTTGCCTGCACGCTCAAAGAATTTTTCTACTATTGATAAAATTTTTATGAAAAAAATGAGATAGAAACAGAATTTTATTCTTATTCTCTGAACGTGCACACAAGAATACGTATTCTCGAACTCGTATTAACTTGGCGTGCACACAAGAATACAACGATCCATTAAAACGTTACTCGTCAATGTTGAAAATTAAATAATATCCAGTGTAATTACTAAATCAAGTTGCAGAGACACTTAAGGTGCAAACTTTACGCAAACACATCGCACTCTTATAGAGGTTGACGCATACGAACCTTACGAAAAATGAAATGTTTCGCAACAATTTTATGCGCCAGCCTCTATTACAAAACTGGAAAGCGAAAAGGGTAATATTCAAAGTCGGTCAAAAAACTTTCCGTATACTTGACAGTCTTCTTATCGTCTAATATTTTTTCTACCAATAAACATAACTTTTACCCATTCGTTTCAAGAATAAATATCACACATCCAAATGAAATATTCATTATCTTTTATACATTAAACAATCTCCAGCAAAGTATACAGAGACCTTTTGACAAACAATGAACGTTTTAAAAACACACCATGCGATAAACGAACCACACTGTACTGTACATAAAAGAAAAACACGACGAAATAACAAGACGCAAGAAAACCTTACTATCGTATGCAGTGCGAATTGCGAATTGCGAATTGCGAATGGAAATTATAATAGCGGAAAAAGAAAAAGATTTCCCATTCGGTGAACGATGATTAATAAGTTGCTCGGAAAGGAATGAATGAAGATGAAGAAAAATGTACTCACCACAAATCGATTGACTTTGACTTTCGGCGTGCGCGGTGATTCGCTCGTTTGCGAGCCGAGAGACTCGAAACGTGCTCTGAGACTACTCGCAGATTCTATGCTCGACTGATCACCGGTATTCTGCGCGATTTCCATTTCCGCGATATTCTGACTGCTCGACATAGTCGTCTTCGCGTCTGTTTCCTCCCAGTGTTCGAATTTCGCGCACAGGGTCTTGGCGCGTGCTGCGTTCTGTGCTTGCTTCAAAAACTCGTCCTCCACCTGGAAAACAAACGATATATTATAGAATAAATTAAGCGGTGGATCAGACAATTTCACGTTTCTCAAGAGTGAATTGATCTATCTTTTCCCGGACGAACAGTAGGTATTCGTATGTAGGAATCTCGAGGTCTACTCACCTTGTCTCTATGTTAATAAACGCGCTACCATTTTTCGCGGCGGAAACAATGGAAATATCGATAATAGTAGCGATGATAAACAATGACATACCTACCTACATACGTAATTTATTCTAGAGTAAGTTTATTTTCAGAGTAAGGGTAAGTAAGGATAAGTAATGAAATATCAACGAACCTTATCCGAAGCTCGCACGTAGTTAGGGTCCCTTTCCTCGCCGCTATCCTCGCCCTCAGACTCTTCACCTTCTTCCTCTTCTTCCTCCTCGGAGTCTGACGCTGTTGGCTTCGCGTATTTGTCTTCTGGCGGTGGTGTGAAACGTTTCAAAGGTTTGGGACCGTTTGGTAGTTCCTGTTTGCATGCGTTCTCTTCCATTTGCCGGAAGATCGACAGCATTTTCCTGGCGGTGTCTGTGTGCACCACCTCGTCGACCCTGTCCTCGGCTCTAACCACGTCTGGGTCACGGTAGATCTCGCGTTCAGGGGAGTCCATCTGTTGGATCGAGTTTCGAATGAATATTGCAACTAGTCGATCGATTCGCCTCGTCGATGGTTAATTAGATATTTCAAATTCACTGCTTTTCGTGCGTCAAACGGTTAAATTACGAAGACAGCAAGCAAAAGAAGAATCATCATCATCACGACGACTTCTCTGAATCAGCTCGAACGTGCTTTAGCACATGTACCGTGTCTCTGCTTGAATTTCTACCTGAACGATGACGATGACGATGCGCGAAATCACTACTCGACGTTACCTGTCTGGAATTAGATACGAACATGGTTTTACGTTCGTGAAACGGTTCGACAATGGTCAAAGATTTATAATTAAGATTTAAACCTGGAGAAAGCTAATTAGTTCGAGCTGCTCGAACGAATCTTTATTAATGATGTTTCGCCACCTTTTATTTAGAATAAAACCGACCCGGTCTCGTTGAAAAGATTATTCTCTTTACGTATGTGATTCTTTGATTTTCGAAAGAAAGAAAACTAAATAATAAATAAAAAGAACGTTTTTGAAGGGAAAGTCGTACATGTACATACGTGCATTTGTACGTAATGTAAATCGACAAATGCTATACCGTTATGTCTAGAAAACGGGTAATTTTCTGTACGAAATTATATGTTTTTCCGATCTTCCATGGCAGCGATCACAAAACACCGCCAATTTAATGATCCTCGATTATAGACCTGTTTGTCGTCGACTATTCTAACTCTTCAAGGAGATCGATACAAAGCCACACTATCAATGTCTTATCGTTCAGACGATTCGAGTATTTTCAAAATAAACAGAAGATGAAGATCGAAGGTAATCGAAAATGGGTTAGTTACTCGGTTACAGATTTTTCGTTATTTTATTATTCCAAATAATAAGATTGCAAATGGAATGGAGCAGAAGAAATCTATACTGATAAACGTATCCTTTTACTCACTTTCTTATCCTCGGCGTTGTTTAATTCGTATAAAATTCGTATAAAATTCGTATAAAATTCGTATAAAATTCGTATAAAAGCACAAAAAGTAGGTAGAAGGGAAAAGTTGAGGAAAGAAGGCTTTTGTTTCGTGGGTACCGGTAAACTGGGAACTGGGAGCGCGTTAGCTTGACGCGGCACCACGGTTGCTATGCCGTTCACACGAACAGCAGGACGCTTAGGCTCTTACTGTTCCTCCCTCTGGTGAGTTACTGGGAGTTACTGCACGGCCTGCTCTCTTCACGAATGGAAGGATGTAGGAATACTAACGGTAAAAGTATGGCTGCTGGCTGACCACTCGAGGGGGTTCAAGGACAAGCCTGGAAATCAAGTGGCACTGGTGCGCGCTTCACAGCTCCTAACCAACAGCTTTCGCGAGCTTTACAACGAGGACCTAGCTATCCATGCCGAACGAATTTCAACTCGTCACGTTATCTGTGCTTCGACAAAAGAATTTACCTGTTATCGAGAAAATATTTCTTGAAAAATGATTACTCAGTTTGTCCGATTGTCCTGTTTACCGAAGAAACCAGCCGTTCAGGGAACATTTATTTTAAGACTTATCGCTTCTTTGATATCATTATTCATCCAGTTTGATTAAAAAAATGATTCATGGAGTTGAAAAAATCGATCGGATCGAAAGCTTTGTTGAATTTTTAATAAAAAGATCGTATTCAATCCATGCAATGAAAATTTTCGTTCAAAGCTCAAAACGACTCGTGCAATAAGAATGAAAAAAAAAAAGAAAAAGAAAAAGAAACGGGTGTGAAATTAGGTTAATCAAATTAGAAATCATTGTCATTATTAGAACATCGAAAACGCTTCACACTATTTCGAAGGTATCGAACCTTGACTTGACCATCGCGCGGAGGAGTGATTCGAAACTGTTTCCGTTGCTTTTCCGGTTCCTTGTAGGATTCGAAAAATTTGAATTTGTTCGAAATGTCTGAGGTTTCGGCATGTACCTCCTCGGTGGTGTCCGAGCTCCGAACCACGTCGTCCGAGACTTGACGACCCATGAATGCCTTGTTTGTACAAGTTGCGTACCAATTAACTTTGCATTTAACGAATGCATTTAAGCATAAGAACTATACTAAATGATATCATATCAAGTCGAATAGAGCCAGTGTAGACGATTCGACTATGTAAATATGTAAATATTTATTTAATTGTTGAAAAATGAAAATGAAACTTACGTCTCTGGCGCGTCGAGGTGCCTCTGCTGGCGTCTTCGGGTTCACCGGAGTCACTGGTCGTCCAGTCTTCGCTGCCGAAGCGTCCAGTTCCAAGAACATCGATCGAGACTTCCTGCTGATTCCTATGTAACAGCAAATTCTTAAAAGCTTCAATTGTGAAATCAAGATAGATAAATTTGCGTTGGTATTTAGAAAAATGAATGAATGAATGACAATGGATTGATTGTGGTAATCATAGTAGGAAATTCTTAACACGACTACATAATTAAGTAGATACATTTAACCGGTTTCTAAATATAAGTTCGTTCGCAAGGCGTAACGCACCTGCTGCGATCACTTCCTCGTCAGCCTTTTCCGGTTTCGGTTTACCGCCGTCCGTCTCATCGTCAGAAGCTGCGATCGGTTCGCCTCGTTCGAATCGTTCTTTGATGGAACGTGCGTGGGTCGACGAGTGTTGCAACTCTTCTGCTGCATTGATCTTCGTCACACGCTCACTTCCGGCTACCGCCTGCTGGTACATCTCCTTCATTTTACCCTGTTTACCCTGCAACGGAAATCGACTTACGCTCAGACACGCGGAACCGCTTTCATCTTCCTTCTTACAATTAGATGTTTCATCGAAATTCGATTATTAGAATTATTAGAATTATTAGAATTATTAGAATTATTAGAATTATTAGAATTATTAGATTATTAGAAAATTAAAGAATTGTTCTTCGAAAATCGTCGTGGAATGCAACGTCGACGAGTCTTCCTCGACTCGCTCCATAGTCGTGAATCTGCACAAGTTTATTGCACAACGTCGAGCGTGTATTCTTGTAAAGAGAATGCGTGAGCTACATTTCAGTCTACTCTCCAAGTTTTTCTGCGTCTGGTGCCATTACCCCGGACTACTTCGCGGCGATTTAGATTAGTTAGCTCTCTAAATTAACGCGAACGGTACGCGATCGTTGCTTCCTCGAAACGATCAGGCTTAATCAAATTTCAAGAGGACGGACGATTCTTCTTCAAATTTTACCATGAATAGCCTCGAACGAATGCCAGCGATCTCCTCTTTTCTCGCTTCCCGTTGAACCTCTTTCCTTCCTTGCTGGCTAGTCGTCTCCCAACGATTCTTTATGTCGTCCATTTTCGTGAAGCTGATCGGACGTTCGCGGGTCGTGCGTTTCGCTTTCACAATTTCGCTCTCCACCTCTGAAACGTATATTATTATTTTATTTTCGATTTCTACTATATAATATGTATATTATACACTTCCTACGCTTTATTTCCCGATAAATTGCAGCAGAGCCTTATCCTATAAATATAGAAGAGTTTGTTTCATTCAGATAAAGAATTAATTAAACAAGTAGGTAGAATAGAAAATCTATTTTCTTAGCTACTTGATAGATTTTTCTTCGCAGAAAAAATGTAGAATAAAATAAAGGATAGCTAAAGACGACTCACCCTCCGTTTCCTCCGTCTCTTCTTCCTCTTCGCTTTCGCTCGACTCTTCGTAAGGGATTCCATTCAGAGACTCATCCGCCACTCCGATATCCATGCCTTTCGCCTGGAATCTGGACAAAAAGACGCGCAACGTAGTCACAAACATTCCAATAAATTCTGATAGCTTGGCACGCGGACAGCATCGACCTACAACTCTGCTGCGCTTTTTCATGCCACTATGTGTATATAGGTATCACTATACGCTCATCAGCAGATAACCAATTGGTTGTTCTAGCAAATTCATCGCACGAAACTTGTCTTGCCTTGCATATTTTTCATCGACACAACTTTTGTCACCCGATCGCGTTCAAATTGAAGCGTGATTTTTCAACAGTCTTACACAAGTCCAAGTAAATTGAAGGTTCGAAAATTCTTCCCTTCCCAAATTAATATACGAGACTTACTTGGCAAGTTTGCTAAGGATACTGGGAGATCTCTTCACAGCGATCTGTGACGGCGACCTTTCGATCTCGTTCGTCTCTGTGCCAGCCTTTTCGAACACTTGGAACCGGGACTTGACATTCAGGCTCGACAACTCCTCGAGACCCAGGTCCGGTTTGTCGGAAGCTGTAACCAATGCGTCGATAAACGCTTTCGTTAGAGATACGGAGATTACGTTTTCTCTAACGTTTCGATAAGCAAATCCAGTTTGTAAATTTACTATCTATATTATCACCTAATGGCATCAATTATTTTCATGCAACGATATTACTGCAAATAAAAAAATTAAAAAATAAAAAGAAAGGAAAAAGGAAATAGGAAAAAGAGAAACAACGGGTTTAAAGGAATAAAGGAATAAACGATAAACTTGTTAACGTATGTATAATTTCGTATGTATAACACTCTGCAAACGGGTTAGAAAACGGTTAGAATTCACTCTATCAGACGAGTATTCACAATTCCATTCGGACTGTGTGTCTTTACCTCTGACCACATCGGGCGGCAACTCTTTCGGCTCGTTCTCCCGTATGATCAGCTCCGGCTTTCGAGGCCGCACTATGGAGTTCACAAGACATCTCTTTGTCGCATTAACGATCTCTCTGCATTTACGTGTAATTATAGAGGGGAGAAAGAAGGAAAAGGTTGATGGTAGAGAAAAAGGGAGAGCAATAATTTCACAGTGACTAGACTAAAAGGGGGACTCTGTGCGACCAGTTCCCGCGTTGAATATACGACCGTTCATTTTAACCATTTATCGGACAATCGGATTTCCTTCAATTGGGGAGCGGCCTTCAATTCTTATTATCGAGCTTCGTTCTATGTACCATATAGATTTACGAGAATCTAAGACTTGTTATAATTAACGTTAGATTCAATCGCTTAAAGAACTTAAAGAACTTAAAGAACTTAAAGAACTTAAAGAAAGAAAGAAAGCCAGGGGTGGGAAACCCGAGCCAATGGAACTGATCGTTGCACGCAACTGTACCACGAGGGTGTCGCGAACTACATAAGTACATACACGGTGATCGACTTACCAGGTTGTTCAGACTCTTCAACCGGTTTCGGTTGGAAGAGTTCCTTGAAGTGTGGCTTACAGTAAAGCGTGCTCTCGTGGCTTTCGTAATTGTCGACGTTAAGCTGCTTGCTACACTGGACGCACCGGAAGCAATTCTTGTGCCAGACCAGACCCTCCGCTTTTGTCTGTTCCATTTGGAAGACGACCTTGCCACAGCTACGGCAGTTTGCATTTGTGTCCCCGTTTTGACCCACCTGCCGTCAATAATTCATTATTTTTTCCTTTTCAATATTTTCCTTTAATCACTTGATTTGGAACAACGTGTCTTGTAGAGACGCAATTATTCGCAATAATAATTTACGATAACCAAATCAATTGATTAATCGGTTAGTTACATATTTGAACCCTGCTATTGTGTCCACAAGTACAATACAACTTTACTACGAATGCCATCACAATATACATATAATAATAATAATAATAATGAATATTCTACAGTAGTAGAACCAACGACACGGTACAACAATAAATTGCTACATACTATATGTAGAAAAGGGAAATCTGAAAACATCGTAAAGTTTTTAGATAAAGTTATAATTTCGCGCGGAGATTTCTCTGGAATATCTATAGAATTACATATTATTCATCGTCAGAAAGTCAAGTGTCTGTCAAGTGTCTGTCTTACGATTAAAGTATACTATGTATCTCGAGAAGAGTGCTTACGGCATTCAGCTGTTGTTGCACTTTGCCCGCGTCGATCGAGCGCACATGCAGCACGGTCTTCTTGCTGAGAGCGTCGAATTTATTGAAGCTCGACTTCTGTAAACACAAACGTTGCAGCCGTCAAGCGAGAAGCGTTTCGAAATACACCAACTGTGTTTCGTTGTCGAGGAAGAAACCTCGATGGATGAATATCTTGGCGTTTCTCATCTAGCCCCTCTCAGCCCCTTGTTCAGCGTGAGCATTTTCTTTTTTTATCCCCGAAAAAAGCGTGTGTTTTGCAAATTTCTCAAAGAATATACGTAAATATGTACGTGCTACTACTTGTAGAAACTTTGACCGATTGTAAAACCTTTAAAGCGTGCTCACGGTGAACGTACGTTTACTACTAATCAGAGTATCGGGTGCACTCTTCAAAGGTGACCAAGAAACAGATTCAGACTAATTATAAGAGAAGGAAAATACTGTTTGGAAGTTGTCCAATCGTTTGTAAACCTTGTAAATTCTGCTTGTTTTTCATCATCAAACGTAAATAATGTCGGTTTAATAATTTTGAATTGGCGCGGTGCGGTGCGGTGCGGTGCGGTGCGGTGTGGAGAAATCTGTGTAGCTACAAGATGAATTCGGACAAGCAGAACTTTCGTTTCAAGCGAATCTACCATAGGAATTACCTTACAGAAATTAATAGGTAACCGACGATCAACTAAAGAGAAAAAAAAAGTAAAAAGTCAGACTTTTCAAGCAGTTTGCTAAAGAAGAAAGCGAATGCTGAAAAAAAGCAGCTGCTCGAATGGCAAAAGCGATGAAGAGACGAACCAATGTTATGGTGGTCATCTCTTCAAGGGCTTACCTCGAACCTCGGTCGATCCATGTCCTTACCCTGGCTCGTTAAGTTTGCCAAACTACAGTAGGAAGCCCTCTGTCCCGAGGTTGATTTCGTAAGTATCGTTTCGTTTCGTTTTGTCGGTTAAGATTTCATGCACGGCCAGGTATTGGGCATCGAACAACAAAAAGAAAGAAACAGCACGGGCTGTGGGTTAGTGTTGTAAATATTTGAAGCGCTATATTCATTCTCGTGTTTCTAGGATCAAGCGGTTGCCATAGATTATAGAATGCTACTCCATAGTCTTCTTCGAAAGAAAAAAGTTAATTGATAAGGAAACAACAGCTTGAGAATTGGCAGTCAGTGACCAATTGATACGAATCTCGGCAACCGCTCTATCGTCAGAGCGAAGAAAAAGAGGACAAAGAACGAGAGAGGGGCCAACATCGAAGACAGAGTTGAAATTGCCTTTTCTCTTTTTCTCTTTTTCGCCTTTCTTCTTGGCACCATCTCTCCCTTTTGTATGCTTTCTCTGACACTGTTCGGCTTCGGTGTCGTATAGATTGGCGGCGCGCGGCGCAAACGGGAATAGCAATTATTTATTTCACTTGGATGTAGTATCTCGATGACGGTGGACGGTGGCACAGAATTATGTCACTCGACTCGATATAACCGATATAAGACCTCGATTCTCGATTAAGTGGGGCAAATGAGTAGTAGGTTATTATCAAAGCCGGCTCTCCCTTAAATGGAGAGACAGCATTGGCGAGCGTGACGACGAGTGACTACTCGAGCGGATCAATCGTGTGTATGTTACAAGTATTAAACTGTCTTCAATGTTGGCCGATAAGTTCACAAAAGGTACTTACAAGGGCCTTGACCGACACCCCGACGAAGACCAGTGCATCTTTGGTGAACTTGGAGTAACCCTTCTCGCATAATCGTAGATCACCCAGCGACCTTGCTTTCTACGACCGTCCGGAGCGTCAATGGGAAGTCAGATTAGCGGACAATTTCGCGGAGTGACGAGCTACGCGAAGCTTTTCTTTTTCTGCTTTTATTCTTTCTATCGACGTAAACTGTCTAATTCGTGAAACGTTATTAATTTACCATATTAGATATATTAAATTTCTCAATTGTTGAAATAGCTTCTCAAAGCTCGCACTCGTAATGCGATTAGTATGCTGTTACGATAATCAGGATAAATTGTTTGTTTCTGTTTGTCACACATCTCGAAGCAAATAACAAGGAAGTTGACAAAGTAGTTCATGCAGTAATGACTGTTAATAGAACCTGCCGCGTCGCGTCGTATCTCTGTCGCATACTACTGATATGTGTACATATATATCGTCACATCGAATCTACTAATTAACATTTTTCAGAATAACTAGGTAATCGATCATTATCTAGATGAAGAAAAAGCTGAGCTCGAAAACGAATCAGGTGACAATGGTATACAAACCTCCTCGTTCTCCATCGTGTGATTCGTTTTTCTGTATGTCTGATCGCTGTCGCTCATGTTCGAGATGTCGCCAAAGCTACGACACTGTTAGTGGACAAAATACAACTGACAAAATTTCTGTTCGGCATCCGTTCGATGTTTCGTAACAAACAAACAAGCGTTACCGCGAAATAAAATAATGATTTGAAGAAAAAGAATTCGTTAAAGTCCACGCCACGTATATGTAAAAGCTTAAATTATTCTATTCGATTGTCACTTACCAATTGTTTGATCGATACACCGGTCGCGATTTTTTCCTTCGAGCATCGATCCTGTTCGTTGCGACTCGTCTCCGACACGTAAGTCTGTGTCTGCATGCACAAAATGCACAGGGTACAAAAGCTAATCACATGCGACCGACTACGATGATTCACATTCTACTAGGATCTTCGATCAAAGGGTCAAAAGACCCTTTGATTCGTTTGGAAGGCTCGTTTCTAGCTGATTTTTAGAACTAACAAATTAATTCAAAGGATTTTCCTTCATTTTTACATCGTAAAACAACCAAAATTTATACAAAACTCTAACGAATAAAGTATGAGAATAAATTACGAGGATCCTTCGTTGAAGCTTCATTGAAATCGACGCTCAACAGCCACGCGATCTTAATAAATCCCGTTTATTAAAAGTTTTCCCCTGTCAGATTTCTTGGAGTTTCAGAGAATGTCGATTTCGATCCCTCAACTTACCAGAGATTTCACGTTCACGTTCGACAAATCGTCCTCGTCTGAGAAATCAAGCGTTTCCGGGTGAATCTGTCGGGAACCAGGGTGCATGCTTGACTCTTGCATGTTACAATTCTGACAAACAAACAAAAACAAACACGCGCACACTTTACATGCAGACTATCAAAGGTTATTTCAGTTACGTAAGGTTTAGATAAATTTGAATTTTTCATCATTTTGAATAACAGGTGTATATGTATAGATCAGAAAAAAAAAATCGTTCCCTTGTTAGAATCCCTAGGTAGCTCTGATCGAAAGATAACTTTATTATCGTTTTATGAAAAATAATTTTCGTAAAAGGATATCGAGAATTGATTGAATGACTCGGAAACAAGTGGTCGAATAGTCTTAAAGAAGAAAAAATAAGCGTTCGTTTTCTCCGTCTTTTCTTTAAATGGTGGAACAAAAGGTTATAGAGAAAACGGAAAAGTCCATAGAAAAGTCGGTTCCTTTCTATCGACAACGATTAAAGTGAAAATTGTCTGGAATCGACCCAACGTGCATGAAACTAAGGATTAAACATTGACTTCCGGTTTTCTCGATATTTTCTCAATATTTTCGACAATCATCAACATCTATCGATGTGGATGTGGATGTTCCAACACCGCTAATTAACAGGACGTTAACGATCCATGCACACGGCTAGTACTTGTGTCACGGCGATCTCGATACCATCATCTTTCAGGCCATCCAATTTCCGCTCGCAAGAAAGAACAAGTTGACGAAAGCCTGCTGGAAAATCAGAGAACGCGCTCGCGACCTCCACTTACCACAGAGATGTTCTCCTTCTCGAGTTCGCTTTTCTTGCTCTTCTTGGTCTTCTTTGTGCGGGGAGTGAGGTTAGGCGAGGCATCGTTTCCAGCTACCCCCTCGATTTTCTTCTTCTTCGTCTTCGTACCGACCTTTGTGCCTGGCGATGTCACCGTTGTGCTCGTTGTTATCGTCTCCTCGCGGCTTTCGCTCTGTGCAAGAAAATACATCTTCTGGTTATTTAATTGCCATATCATTTCGGTTGCTAGAACAAATTTCCTAATGATAGATCTTTTGAATTCTCAGGAGGAAAAAAGAATTCTTTTTCTTTGCAAGATGGCGTTTGCTAAGTCGAGGCTGACGAACGGCCTACTATTTTACATATTGAGAATGTGACACCGTGTAATCGCAATACGAGTTTCTATCGTGCATCGAGAAATGTCGCTTCTTCCTTTCGAAAGTAGATCGATCGTGTCGTAAACGTAACTTGATTCTCCGACTGCGCGTCAGCTGATCGCATGGTCTATACCTATGATATGTAGCCTTAAACAGGACGCACCGCAAATACAAGATTTTTTCATAGGATGGCGAATATATTATGCGTAACAATGTTGTAATTACATTGTTTTCTCCCTGGATCGTATACCAACTTACAGCATACAGTAATACAATAGAAATATACATATACAAAGAGAGAGAGGAATGCGTTGTATTGTGATCAATGGGCAATTCGTTGAGGAAGAGAGCGAGTGTCGTGCATTCCTTTTTCACCTGTTAACAAGGTATTAATGACCGGATAGATATGAATCGCGATCGGTGTTGATCGCAAAACTCAACTTTTATTAAACATCGTATAACTACTACGCGTGATCTTTAAATTATTATTAATAATTTTATGATTTTTTTTCCGATTTGACAAAATTAGATACAAATTAAGTTTTTGAAAAAGCGGAAGAATGTTATAAACGATGTCTGCCAAGGTGAAAAGACGATAAGTAAATGACACCTTTACGAGCGTCCTAAACGGTGCGACGGTGATTTTCTCACGGCGATTTTTATCATGCTCGTTATGCCTAATGAACTTCCGGTCTGACAGTCTAGTGATTCGTTCCATTCGTAAGTTATTTTAATCTTCTAAAATGAATAGAATTAATTGCAATCTATCTATCTATCTATCGTTGATGTCGCGTAAACTCTCTCGCGAGAACTCGATTCGAATCGCGATTACACCGCATTCTTCAGGAAAGCCGACCAACGAGTCGAGTCACGCAGACGTGTTTCGTTTCTTAATTAACATCCCCTCCTGGTTTCGTGCGGATTCCTTCCATCCCATCGGTGGAGGAAAATCGTCGCGTGGCGATTTTTCCTGATAAACAGGATGGTCACGGTGAACGAGATCAGCCAGGAACTTTCGTAACGTTGCTTCCAGACTTTCTAATTCACCAACGATGCTTCCTCGATGCTTCACTTTCACAATTTTCGGATAACTTATGAATTTTTTTCCTTCAACTCACTGATACGCGTTATCGTTTACCTTTTTTAATATTCAAAAAACAAACTTCGTGAATCCTTGTATGTAAACCTTGTGGTTGCCATTTAGTATAAATATCGCGTCTTTCACTTAAAAATCACCAGTACCAACTTTCTTTTTTAACTGACCAGTGAACAACGCGTTAAACATGAAACACTGAAAGCTTAAAAAATCCTGAGCCACATCGAAAGAAACGATTCTAATCCGCGACAGCGCACTTTCTGAAACTTTGCGGCGTTCACTTCGTTACCGAAAATCTCTTTACTACACAGTACACAGCGATTAGGAGTAGCAGTAACTTGTTCGCGTCCACCTCGGCAAACAGGTCGACGAAAGCTAACTGAAGAACGTGAAAGAGTAGACGACGAGAGGGAAGGAGAGATAGAAGGAGAAAGGAATCACGTTTCTAGCCTGTTAGAATGAATGAACGAACGATGACAGTAAAGTAGAGGAAATTTTGAAGAACAGTTAACTTGGCAACTGAATTGCTGCCTCGATTGCAATAAAGATCAGTGAAGATTTCAAGAATAAACAGTGCGTAAAGCTTGCATGAATAATCAACGCGTAGGCGGTGCTTAAGATATTTGAGTAGTAATTGGTTGAAAAATTCTATAAGCAAGAAAGAAGTTTTATTTTAAACGTAGGTCCAAGGTCGTACCTGGCCGAAAATCATCCTCGACGAGCAGCCACGAAGGAGTGCAGGAGAGTCTGAACGTTGAAGAAGAGTTAAAGGGGTTCAGGAAACTCGGTGCTCTCCAAAGCGTGTACGGCAGGAGGAAATCGTGGGGATAGGATGGATTTCCGCGATTGGTCGTTTCCAACGGACACAGGGAGACGGTTGGCCGCGTACCTATGAAGTACGAAGGGGAACCAGACGGTGTTCAGATAGCATAACGAAAGGTAAGCCGGCTGATCCGATAGATCCGGCAGATCCGGCAGATCCGGCAGATCCGGCAGATCCGGCAGACGGAACCGTAGGATTGGTCGATGGTTCACCATCAAACATTCGACCTCGATATCTTTGTTCAAAGCGTGATTAAAACGCGTTATATACGTTTGTTTTTCGAACGGCAATCATCTTCTTTTGCTAGTGACACGTATGAGAGAAGAGAGAATTGGAGCATCCAGAAACGTTTTTTCTTGGTGAAACGTGAATTGGTGGAAAAGGTGTGTGACACTTTGGCGGAAAGGTGGAAAGGGGTTTAACTGGATGAAAGTGCAATATCAATTGGTGTCACGAAAATTTCCTTAACGCATGAAAACTTTCACGGCTAAAAGATCAGCTGTTTCGTTTACAGATAAGAAAGTGTTTCAAGATAGCAACTGAATGAAAATTCCACGATTAAGTTAGTTCCTAGTACAACATATACCTATGTATGTACATATATTCTAGATGCGCAGACGACATGGGCGGCGGTGGTCGTTGAACCGACTTGTCTGATAACTCGGTTTCGTAGCGAACGCGACGACTCCTTGATAAACGCAAGCGGATTACTTCCGGTACGCGCTCACGTGGGGCTCTCTGAATTATCGTGCTTCTTTCTATTCGTGTCGTCGAGCTACGCTGAACTTGTTTCGCTTACTTGAACCGTATCGCGCCAACGACATTGTTTGGCTTGATAATGGAAATATTGCTCGTTAACGTAACTTATTACCCATTTACGATTATACCTATAATTCTGTAATCCTTTGAAAAACTTATCAAACGACTCTTAACAATTTATTATCCAAATCTAGTCAGATTCGAATGACGTGACAGTCGAATATTATATTAATAATTACTACTATAGGTTATATTGAAAATCAATTGGTCAGTCGAGGACGTGATACGGTAGGTAATCTTGCCATATTTCGACAGACTGCAATAACGCGAATATTTGCAATGAAAACAAGTTGTTAACTGAGTCGCTCGTTATCTTTCTTCGAAAGTAAACACTTTTGATAAGATGTCTTCTATCTCGTTTCCTGACGCGAAATAGGAATTAAGAGTGAAATCTGAAAGATTAACTTTCAATCCTTGAACAAGTTTATCAGATAACAGATAACTGATTTAAAAATATTTCATTACCTCCTTGGTACGAAAAATGTACGATGTACAAATAAATGATTTATTTTTTTATTGAAGTAGTTTGATCACGATTGACACGATAAACGATAAACGCGTTTAATTAGACGAACAGAACTTAATTAACGGACAGGTTGAGTTTCGGCTCGCGTTACCGGCTACCCGTAATTCCGCTCGTAGCCGTGAACTACATTCGTTCGTTGTTTCCCTCGCACGCTCGCACGTATTCTTACGGGTGTCAATGAAGAGAAATAACGGAGAAGGAAAGTGGTTACGCGTGGTTGCGCGGTCTTAACGAGCCAATTACATTTCTGTTCCTTAATTAAAGACGCGTCTTTCGGAAAGTATCGCCTCGTGCGCAATTGAACAAATTAAAAGTTGCGAATATATGGTAAAAGAAAGATTCGTTACGTCGGTTGCGCGGTCAAAGAACTTATCTGCGAGCTTATCTGTGATTTCTGTAGTTGCCCAGAATTTAATGAGATTAATTGTTCAAGGCACGAAATATGCGTGGGAGCTACGGTGTTGTAATTAGTGTTGCGGTGTACGAGGCAGAAAAAGCGGAGTCGGAATGACTCGTTTGCAAGAATTACTCAATGCATACCTATTTCGTAGAGTCTAGAGTAGTGTCTAGAGTGTAGAGGAAGACGAATAACGTTCAGATTAGATATACTTCATTCTTAACAATGACACTTCGCAATCTAAAGAAATTCACAATCTGAAAGAAGCAGAGCAAGGAAAAAAAACAACACTGATCATTCTTGCTAAGAAAACAGCAATCGACGGGTGACGACGACGACGCAGGGAAAAAAAAAAAAATTATTTCTCGCTATCAGTAGATTAATTGCAAGAAAAAGCAACAAGAAAACTTACGTCACACGCGTTAGAAACGTCGCTGATTTCGTCATCGGGCGTGGCAAGTGGTGCACGAAGAGAGCTTCCTGAATCGAGTTGTTGTTGTTGTTGTTGTTGTTCGCTTTGAATCTGTTCCTCGATTAATGCTTCCGATTCGTTTCCGGTCTCTAGGCATCTCGTTTCCGAAAAAATGGTTACGTTACTCTCGGATATCACCACTTCGGTCTTCTCGATAAACGTAGGCTCAGAAACCGACAATTCACTGGACGATTCCGCTATCGCGTTTTGTTCATCCGTCTTATCTTTTATTTCTTCTTCTATCGGAGGCTCGTTCTTTTCCGTGGACGGAGGTTGGACCTCTTCCTGAATCTGTTGATCGCCATTATCCTCGCTCAGCACTCGTCGTTCGGTATCTATGAACTCTTGAGTACTGATGGCATCGGCAGAACTCTCGGATCGACTCATCACACCATCGTCGAAGCTTCTCGATTGTACAGGAGATCCTGGAGCCTTCTCTTCTGGTTCTTCCGGTTCTTCCGGTTCTTCCGGTTCTTCCGCAACGTTAGAAGGAATCTTTTCTTCTGTTTTCGATACTTTCAAGTCTTCCTTGTTACATTTAGATTCTAGTTCGCTGTTTTCTCGTAACGGGGACTCCTCGACTAATTGTTGGTCGGTGGAGTAGAGTTCGATGCCCTCTTGGCACAGAGTCTGATCAAAATTATCCGAAAACTGACCAGTTTGTTGATTTTCAACGAAAGCTGACTGTTCCGTCCAGTTATCGAATTGGTCACTTTTCATAGGATCACTCTCCGTGGTTGCTCCAGCTTCCGTCTGATCGAGCTCTCTTTCTTCTTGATACTTGTCGCCGTACACGACAGGCATTGTGGTTACTCGGTCCTGTTCGTTTTCGCAGCTGGGCTCGAACGATTCCACGATCATGCTGGACACTTCCGGTGGCCTATCCCCAACCTCCGCCGGCCTGCAAACAGGATAACTCGGAGAAGGATCCTCGTTATCCTCGTTATCCTCGTTTTGCCGGAACGGTTTGTCATCGTCCGACGAGTCGCGTGCCGATCGATCCATCTCGATCGTCGTTGTTTCTTGAACGACTATCGTGCTGCCAACTTCCGGTTGTTCATCGAATACCTGTTCTTCTTCTACCTCCTGTTCCTCCTGCTCGTCTCTGATAGCAACCATGATCGGCTCCGGCTTCACCTCCTCCTCGTAAGAAATTTTTGTGTCCGGTGACATGTGACCGTTTTGATAATTGTAGGATTTTTCAATAAAAGCCGAATGCTCGCTTTCCGCCGCGATAAACTCTGAATTCACGTCAACGATATCCTGTTGTCTGTCTAGAAGGATCCTTTTGACCGTTTCCGGTTCGTTGGTGATTTCTTCATCTTCTTCATCTTCTTCTTCTCCTGGTTGTTCCATGTCCGAGTCGCGGATGCTCGCTTGCTGCGGCTCGTTGTTCGAACAGATTCTTAGTGCCAACTCGCTCTCGATCAATTCCTGAAGACTCTTATCGTCGCTGTCCAACTCGTTACGCGTGTTATTAGTCAGGATTAGGTCGTCCTCGTCGTCGTTGGTGTCACACAGCGAGATTAGTTGTTTGTTACCGGCGGTTAGGTTATCCAACTCGATCAAACCATTGTTAGATTGAACACTGCACACTTCGTTTTTCTTGCTACTTACTACGTTGATCGACTTCTTGGTCGCCACCTCCGCCATTATGGCGCGTCCGCTTCCTCGGACACTCGCACCGTGGACACCTGTAACAATAAAAGAGCATCCTTTCAAGAAACTGCTCCGAGAACATCGCCATACTGTTTTTCCGTGAAATCGTCGATGACTGCCCGCCTTTCGCGTTTCGCGCCTCTTTGCCCCCCGCTCGGAAGAAGGTCACCGGATATTTCTGGACGAACAATTTTCTTTGCTCCGTTGCTCGAGAAACGGTGTCGTAGAAAGGGAAATTTAATTCGACGCGACGACAGAATTAGATCGTTTCCACTTTGGATCGGCAATTTGGCCGACCACGTTGCACGAGTTACGCAATTTTTCGAGTTCACGATTATTTTAACGCTTAATGAAATTTTCATGTGCATGGGGTGTCCTACAAGAAATAATGTCACACGGTAATTGAAGAAAAGGAAAGGAAAAAAAAAATGGTGTAGGGGTTAACGCGTTCCTCTCGCGTAAACATCCGCGATCCGACGCGGCGACGCCGCGCCGCGCCGCGACGATTACGAAAGTATGCAGAAGCAGCAAAGGAACGGGAAGGATTCTATCTCGAAGCAGCGTCCACGTCTATTCTTAGATTGCTCTGGATTCGATGAACAACCAGAGAGCCTCGGTCGTCGCGTAATCTCGTTCGTTAATTTCTTTCCATCGGTTTCTCGTTGATACGAACGAAAGATGGAACCGCGTATGGAGAAGCCTAAGGGAATCATTGCAGGCCAGCGTCGTTGGCTGGCAAGCCAAAACCTACTATTATTAGCTATTCTGTGCACCCGTGTATTTATGCCGTTCCACGACCGAATGTATTTCGAAAATGAAATCTGAAACTCCTCAAGGATACACCGCTTCCACCACGATTGCTTCCTGGAGCGAGGGAAAAATCACGGTATAAACGAAGAGTTAAATTATAAGACAGGAAGAATATAGATACAATACATATAGTGGCGTGGCGTTTTATAGTTTGTTCAGAATCGATTTATAAAGGGAGGAAGAGAAACGAACGGTGGACGCGGTGCCATAAAGTTAGAAAGTGCCGGAAACAGAAGGTAATGCACATGCGCGCGTGCTAGAGTTTCGCGGTGCAGCGCGGCGCGGCGCGGCGCGGCGGGCGCATGCGTATTGCCAAGTTTTTCCATGCTCGCGACATATTTAAGCCGTGATATTTAAAATCGCGCAGGAGGCTTTCATCAGGCGTCGTCTCTCGTGTCGTCGTGCTTTTAAAGTCTTTTGCAATGCTGTCTGTTTAATTTAATCTTCTTCTCTTTCCTTCTTTTCTATCTCTGACCGTCGATCTTTTTCTCCCCCTTTCTCCATCTTCTTCCCTCGCTCTTCTATGCGCTCTTCTACGGTTCTCTCTCTTTGACCAGCGTTTCTTCGAGGTCGTTCTTCGGGTTCACGACCGGGAGGGACTATACGAGTCCGATCCCTTCTCTCTTTCTCCGGGTTCGTGGCTATTCTCTCGTTTCAACCTCTCTCTATTTTTAGAATGACACACTACCGCGATTCAACGAGGCGCGCGAGCGCCACACCAGCCGGAAAATCCTCTGGCCAAAAGTGGCGGCCGCGAACGAAATCGACAACGACACTTTTCGTTTCAGAGAAGATAGGCTCTCGAATCTACGGGTATAGATTGGAAAAAAAAGGATACGAACACATATGATGTGCCCCCTTTCTTTGGCCAGAAGTGGTCGAATGCACACCAGGTCGTCGTCGTCATCAGACGTCAGCTTCTCGCCTAATTAAACCGCGACTTTAGAACGAAGCGTGTGTAAAGTTCAGTAAATTGCGGTATCGCGTAGTATTTGCACAATCATCGCGGACATGGAGTACGTGCTGGAAGCAACGGTGGGTGAGTAAGGTACAGTAAGGGTGTCTGCGCTTTTGTCCCGCTTCTACGCCCACTTCGAATGGTGTTGCAACCGCATTAGAATTGCACTAGCCGACCGGTACACTAATTTCTACACTATATCGATTATATTCGCAATGCAATTTGATCACGTTAGACATTAATTGGAATTCATGATAAATCAATGCCAACAGATTTCCGTGTTCAACGATGATTCGAAAACAAACGAACATCTTAATCAACGTAGCGCACTTGTTATTCTATGAAAAGAAGACCCGATTAACGGGCGTTAATCGAAGAATTTATGTAACGAGAATATCAATGCGGCGAGTGAAAGGGATCGATTACCGATGTCGTCGAGTCACCGTCCATTTTCCTGTGGATTTATAACCGCACGCGACCACACCTGACGAAGACACGTAATCGATAATGGAAACTTTACTTCCTTGAATCGGGTGTACAACGCCTTGTCGCGATATCGGTCCTTCAATTTCTGATCTGTGAGCGAGGAAACATCGACTGAAAATACACTCGAGAACCACATAAATCCGTTTCCGCAGATTGAACCGTTCCAATTCGTGTCCACCAGGGATACGAATACCCAACATTCTTGACCATTCGCAACTATGCAATTCTTACTAACAACAAGTATTTACCTAATACAAATAATTTTGAAAGATGAATCTTTAGACGATCTTTAAACGATTAGAAAGACGTGGCATATCTACTCGATTTTAAGCGATTGAACGTTTGCAAAAGTATGAAACAACGTTTATCTCTTTCCTGAGTAATAGTGAGTGTCCTGAGTAATCGTGTCGAAATTCTTGCTAGATGTTTCAGGAAGCATATGCGTTAGATCGATTGATTACTATCTTTAGAGAACAAGCCTACTCTCGCTTTTGTTACTCCTACAATTCTTATATAATTCTTTTCTTTTATGTGAGAAAAAGATGTCGCAAGAAAACCGTGAAACGTTTCGACACACAGTTCTTAAATATATCTAAATTTTTATTCCGCATTCTCAAGTTACACTCTTAAATAAGAAATCATCCCCTTTCCGCGCAACGATCATTAACTCCACAACCTATGCCTTTATTTTTCTTATTACGTGCTTCTTGTCTACACGCTGAGAAAATAAGTAAAGAGAGTGGGGAAAAGCAAGCGAAAAAGAAAAGTAAGATTTATCCGGAAGCTGTGGTGGCTGTGCACGAGACGCACGCAAGCACAGAATCTTCCGCGTGCGTGCGTAAACTTGCGTCGCGTCGCCTCGCGTCGCCTCACATTTTCACTGCAACCAAGCGTGCATAAGGCGCGGACACGGTATCCCCTTACAAATTTCTATGCAACTATAATTAGGTAAGTGTACATCGGTCCCCCTAGGAATCCCTGTTAGCCGCGAAGCTATGCCGCCGCGGAAAGTGGTGCGAATATTTTCGGCCCGAGGAAAGCCGAAATTAAACGTCTACAATCTACGCTCTCGGTTACTCGCGTTACCTATAACGCTTCCTCTTTCGTCCTTCTATTCTTCTATGCTTCATTTTTTCATTTTGTCCATCCAGTTGGTTCGTTGCGTGCCGCAACTTTTAAGCATTCGCATTGTTGCGTTCTAAAAATGTATCACGTTATGGAAATTAACAGGCTTACCGTTGAAAAATTGAAAATGAAAACGAGCGCCGGCTTCTTTCAACATTTTTATTGCCGATTTACTGTTCGATTCGTTCGATTCGTCGTTGGTAGTTGTTCCGAAGAAAAAATAAAATGACTACGGAAGCAATCTAACAGCATAGAGGAAACAGAGATACCAGAGACTCCATTAAATGCAAATTAAGCAATAGAAGCGATGAAATGGGCGGTGTAGCCCACGAAATTTGCCTATCAAACGCCAACTACCGGTGATCCAGACATGCACTCTAGGAGGTAGCGAGTTCCAAACAGAAGACAAGAATATAGTACATAGATATTTGTATGAAAGATTCTTAGTCATCCTTCTTGAAATATCTACATAAATCACTACCACCCACGAATCTAAGCAGGATGCCAAATTCTGCTTGTAAATATTTGCGACTTAAGTTTAAAATTCTAGCTAATGTTTCATCATTAACGAAACGTCAGACACCAATGAACGAAAGGAAAATTATTTTCATTATTTACAAGTGAAAAATGTTCAGAATCTACCAAGTAGATATCGATCTGTAAAGACAGGTAAGAGAAATCCTTATGGTTTAAAATCCTTTTACTTTCGTCGACGCGACGTGGTGTAGCGTCTGTTCGGTAAAACAAATAAGTACAGTACGATGAGGGAATGGAGAAAGGTGAAGAGGGCAGAAGAGGGCAGAAGAGGGCAGAAGAGGCATAATCGGTCAGCATCTTTTCCATTTCGTTCTCGTTAAAACGCGGTTTGCTGACCCTTGGCGAAATCGTTCGCCTGTCGAGCCAATTGTTCAACATGAACGCTATTTCGCTGGTAAGCGTAAGCAGAATCTTTCTCGGTAACCGGTGATTGTCAGTTTAACGGTGTGGTTGTTTCACTCGGTTCGTGATTATTAATCACGATAACGAGCAAACAGTCTGGTCGTTGGGATAAATTTGTCACGTTTCTACGAAACGACGTTTCGTCTTCATTAACTGGGATAATTCTGGAGCTGGCCAGTTTCAACGGTATTTTTGACAAATAAAAATCCACCGACACACCGTCATCATCCTTATTTTACAATTGAAAAAAACAATCGTAAAAGAAAATATCTAGTCTCTCCGTTTCAAAGAGGTTTTTCGGAAAGACGCGTTGACGAGAGACTTTGCACGGGACGAAGAGGAAGCAAAGGCGAGCACGAGCGTGCACGAGTGGAGACGAGAGGAAACGAGCGCAAACGAGTCGTGGAGAACGCGGGTGAACGACCTATGGGGAATCGGTATTCGCGGCATTCCAGCGAGAACGACGAGAGGATGACCGAGTGCTGCTCGCTCCCCCAATTATCCTCGCGCTATCCATCCCCGCGAGACACAATGAATGAGATAGTTCGTTCGTTCGTTCGTTCCTTCCTGCGGCTGCTGCACCGCACCGGTGTCCAAGGTCACCGGAAGCCGTAGGAAAATTAACTCGCTTCAAGAGTTGAACGAGAAGAGGCAGAATTCTTTCTTTCTTTCTTTCTTTCTTTCTAACGCCATTCTCAGCTTCGTTCCGCTTAGTAA